TCATTTTCAAATGTGACCTAAAAAATTAGGGAGTATTTTCTAGACCTATTATTTCTTCCTAGAGTCTTAAATTAACCATGTCCTGAAATCCTGAAGATTACATTTCCATCCACTAGCCAAAGAAATACTGAAAGCTATAGTAAAGAGTTTCACGGGTATTAAATTTACATTGGTTTTTCTATGGGAATGGACAAATTTATTCCAAAGAATAAATCCATTACTGAGAAGGAAAAACTATTCGCAAATTCTCCACCTAGAAGTATTTTTCCTAGTAAGTTATCCCTTCAAAAGATTAATCACAAACCATTAATTTTTAAAAATCAGAAAAGAGCCATTTACCTATTAGACCCCTAAGTGGTATCTGTTTAAATTCGTGATAAACCTGTAAGGAGTTCCAAAGGATCTGGATAAAACCCTAACTCACAAATTGGTATCTAGCAGTCCCTGGAATTCCAGGAAATCAGCACTTCAAATGCCCGTGACTGGCAGGGATATTCATGAAACACCCTGGTGTCTCTGGTGAAAGCCAAGCTTTGCTGAGGAAGTTACGTGGGCCCTGGGAAGTCGGTCCAGAACTGAAAATGAAGTGCCAAAGGAAACACCACTATTGCCGAAAAGAACCACAAGAGAAGGCATTCCCTGTGCCAACCACCACGCAGACACTGCAGATATGTGCTAAGCGTGTGACAATGCTCTAGGTAGGAGCTGGGTCACTCCCACTGTTCACGCTGACAGACATTACTCCTCTGCATACCTACTGGAGGGTCCTGCTTCTGAGAAGCAGCCTCATCGATCACTAAAGCGAGCTGTGTTGACCATGGTTCTGGACACCTTGCAAAACCACCCTCCGAGGAGCGGGCAAGAGCTCTGGACGCCCACACGGTCAACTGTGGTTTGAGTCCTGGACCTGGTGGCTTGCCTTCTCTCTCTCTCACTCCATCCCTCTGTGGTCAAATTAAAATAAGTAAACAAATAATTCATTTACACACACACAAAAAAAGCCACCATCCAAGAGGGCATTATCTCATTTATATAAAAAACTTAGAAGCATGGAAATTTGTTAGATTTGTAGAAGAGGAAAAATTATCTATAAGGACTTAAATCAAAGCCTGTCTCTCCTCTGGCTTCTTGGTAAATCCTTAACTTTTTCAATATGCTTAAAGCACTAATACTGTAAAAATTTTCTCACTCAATTCTACCCATTCCTTAACAAATGACAACTTTATACAGAACATTTTGACCACTACTGTTTCCCCTTCCACATTCACATCTCATAGAAAAATTAATTTCAGGGGCCAGGAGGTGGCTTAGTGGGGTTAAAGGCACTGGACTTCCTCATAGCCAACCATGGTTCAACCCCCAATCTGGAGGCTTGAAAATCACGTTGGGTGTGTACAAATGCCCCAAACCCAAGAGAATGGGGGAGAAGGAATTGAGGCATGGCCATGGCCATCCCTCCTCGTAATTTCTCATCTTCCCTCTGTCTCTCTCCACTGAGCCCATGCACCCTAAGGTAAAAACCTAAAAAATAATAATAATAATAATAATAGTAATAATTCCAGATGGCATATCAATATGCAAATAGTGGGCTAGGCTATAAAAATAAATACACGATTTATTTTACCGTCAATAAATACAGGACTCTATTTACTGATGAGCAGAAAGCGGCACAGCAATACAAGTGAACTTACAAGGGGAGGTCCCGCGGCTGACCCCGGGGCTCCCGGTGTACACCAGACATCTGTGTGGATGTCTGTAGTCACGCTGGCTCAAGGTAGATCATGGAACTAAGACCCTGTATCTCCATTTCTCTTTCTCTGAATAAACATTTTTTTAAAACACAACTATTTATAGTCTTTACTGCATGCAGCATATTGTTCTAAATGTTTAAAAGGACCTTATAAAATACAATAGATTCCACCATTCTCCTACGTTATATATAGATAAGAAACTGAAGCACCAAAAGTTTTAACAATTTTTGGAAGGCCAAACAAGTGGGGATCTAGCATTCAAATCGGGGTGCCTGGCTCCACAACCCACGCTCACCATTTTTTTTTTTTTTAATATTTAAGTTTTTTTTATTACACCAAAGGGCCCATGTGCACATAAGGGACACAGAGAAAGCACCCCCAGTGGGGCCTGGCCACATCAGTCCTTGTTCCTCCAACATTGCACCGCGACAGGATTCTGTGCAGAAGAGCCCACCTGGCTGTGCGAGCTGCTGGCTCAGACTCAAACTTCAGCCATGCGGCATCCCGTCTTCTGCCGGGTTTGAGCACTGCACTGCAGGGCCGGCCCCACAACCCATGCAAGATCTTGGGTATACAGGGCTTCTCATTTAACCCTCCCAACTCTGTGAGCTCAACATATCAATCCAAATCAATTTACAGATAAGAAACAAGAGGCTCACAAAGGCCAAATCACTGGCCTACAGTCACACAGCTTTAAGTGGCTAAGGCATAATTTGAATCCATGCTATCCAGTTTCACACCTCCAAGCTGTTAATACTCTATCATGTTAAAGGATACAAATTATAGAAAGACAAGTGATACCAATTTATGTATTTTAAGATAGTAAATTGCTTTTGAACATTTCTAGACTATATATAAGTTCTGCTTAAAAATGTTTAAATATGAACAAAGGAAAAAACACCTCACAGTACTGAAAAACTGAAAAGCATTCCCTCAGTGGTTCAGAATAACGGGGAAGGGAGAACCGTGAAGCCATCTCGGAGGTATTGGGGCCACAGTCCGCTCACAACCAACCTCTCCCTCCTCAGTGGAGAACGAGAGTCAGCTCTCCTTCCTAAGAAAGCAGAAACAAAGGCAATATCTAAGACCCCCCATTTTAGGCAATTCTCTTCATCTGCTAGCATTCTTAAAACAGCAGCTGCAGACAGACTAACTTTCCAATGCTGTGTCATCAGGAAACAGGTGTATAAATGCACTCAATATTCTTTGTTCCACGTGGAGAGTGGATGGGTCTTTCTTAGATCTTTACAAGACAAAGGAAACCGGCTGCGAAGAGTGACTTTCAGCACCTCCAGGCACGAACAGTACCTCTTTCAAACGCTGTTCTCGAGCCGTAATTAGACCATGTACCTCCCCTGCAGTCACAGCTTTATTTCGGGAATGTCTCCCACCAGCCACCGCCCACGGAGAGACCGGGCGATGGAGCCGTGCCCATCACAGACCCGGCAGGGCCCCGCGGTCCCGGCAGCACCGACCCTGCCCGTGAAAAACCTAGCTCTCGGCCGACCACTCACAACGGAGAGCCAGCCAGCCGGCGAGCCGAGCCACAGCTCTGCGTCGGTCACATAAGCCAGAAGACAAAAGAGAAACTGCCATTTGTTCCAATGTCTTTTACAGCATCTTGCGGCTCACTTACAAAAAGAAGAAATGCCGGAACGCGAAGTCACGAAGCAGGTGTAGAGAACGGGCGCAGCAGTTCGAGCAAAGGAAGAGATGGGCTCGGAGCTGCCCGTGCTTTCCAGCCCGAGGAAAGCGTCTGCGGTTCCCGCGAGGCCGAGGGCATGCCCGCGTGCAGCGTGCCCAGAGCTCAGCGGACGGACAGGTTCCGCCGCCTCCCGGACCCGGTTGTGAAACAGGGCGGGACGCGCAGGGACACCTCCTAGCACTCCAGATGGAGAGTGGTTTTCTGGGAAGTGGAACGGCTGCTTTCCCCAGGCTTGGGCCGGTCAGTGCCATTCTGTGCCTTAGACACCAGCCCGGGCGCACCCCACGCCCCGGGGACTCCGTGCGAACAGCCTGGAACGTGCGTCGCATCGCGGCTCCCTGACCCGGAAACTCGCCCCGCTCCCCACGCGAAACTGGGCCAAAATCTCCGGGACCCGGATCGGGATCGGGACCGAGACCGGCACCGGGACCCGGGCGCCG